AGACGTGCAATAGATGCCGTGTGTAAATTGAAAAGATAATACATTTGCAACATAGGTAGTCCAAATGTTTGGAAATGCATGTGTGTATAATAGGAAGATGAATCCACGAGTATATCCATCCAGGACTTATGATCCAGGACCACAGCCACGACTCAAGATCCAGGACTCGCGATCCATGACACAGGACCGCAGGATCATCCATGACTCCGGATCCCGGCGTATATAGACACCAAAAAGAAAGAAATTTGGGGAAGCTGGGTTAATCGGAACATGAGAGTACACAGGTATAGACAGAGAGAAGGAAGAAGTAAGATGTCCCCCGACAAACTAAGCCTATATCAGCAAAACTAGGGGCTGAATCTAATCAGCCCTAACTATAAGCTTTATCAAAAAGGAAGGTCTTAAGCGCACTCTTAAAAACGGATAGGGTGTCTGCTGTCCGAACACAAACTGGAAGCTGATTCCACAAAAGTGGAGCTTGATAAGAAAAGGCTCTGGCTCCCATTGTACTTTTAGAGACTCTAGGAACAACCAACAACCCTGCATTCTTGGAACGCAATGCCCTAGTAGGACAGTAGGGTATAATGAGTTCTTTAAGGTAAGATGGCGCCTGCCCATTAAGGGCTTTGAAGGCGAGTGTTACGTTCTTCAGCCCTAAACTTTAACACATACATGTTTGAGCATGAATGTCTGAGTATGCACCTCTTAAACATGTGTGATGTTGAAACGTGAGAACAAAAACTGAAAGGACACTTTTCAGTAGTATGAGAATTATTTTTGGCCAATGAGGGAGTAGGAGTGGGTGCATATTAGACAGTTTTTAAAAGGTAACTGACTTTTTGTGTCAAACTTATATCGAACAAAGGTTATGACTTAAAGCACTGTATTTGTATACGTCTCATGTCTGGAGGCGATCGTCATTATTCTGCAGCTTACTAAATACTCAAGTTATTTATAAATATGCAAACATGCTGTTTCTCTTATTCTGCCTGAAGTCTGAAAGAAACGTCGGGCAGAAATGTATCTAGGAAGGATATAGAAAACTGAAAGGGCCAAATAAGATTTGAACAAGACACATGGATCCTCACATTCAGATGTATTCTATTCAACAAAGTTTCAGTCCCTTCACAGTGAGTCAGTATTGGAAACTTCTACAACTGTAAAATTGTTAGCATTATTAGTTCCATTAGGCGACAGAACCACCTAGGCCCTGAACGCCCCGTCTGTTTTTTCTATTGTCTGGGCTGTGGGAGTCATTTCAAGGGTGTCATTTGGAACGTGGGCAATCCAGTTGTATGGTGGATTTTCTCTCTCTACATTCCCTGAATGCTGCCCCCTTTCTTTATCTTCAGTATCACATTAACAAGCTGTCCATTCATTGAATACCAAACAGGCCTCATTATTCCCGGCCAGACTATGTGTGACTGTAAGTGTGTGTTCGAGTATGTGTGGGAGAGTGGAAAAGTCTGAGATAATACGTATTAATTACAAGGTCTATCTGAAGAGGGCTAATGAATGCTGTGGTTAGCAGCAGTTTAAATGAGCTAATGACACGGCAGCTCATTCTCACACACACACACACACACACACACACACACACACACACACACACACACACACACACACACACACACACACACACACACACACAGTGATACAAATCTTCTTTCCTGTAGGTGAAATGTTAAATTATCTTTCACTCTGCATATCTGCGTACATTGTTTCTGAAGTAGTCCATTAACAAATGAGCTCATCTGACCTGAATTAATTTATTAATGTCCTCAAAGTCATAACTCAACACTGGCTGTTTTTGAACTGGCTTACAATATGTTGACACAGCATTTCCGTAAACTAGTTTGCATTGTGACATTCTGTAGGGATAAACACATCAAGCCTGGAAGCCATCTGCCTCTTAAGTCTGAAAAACATTCTCATTAGATAACAGACCACGCTGTACAAAAGTTGGCTAGCCTCGAGTAGGGATTGCTGTTGATCTGCATGCAAATGCTTTAAGTGTGTCATAGCTGCGTGTCTGTGACTGCATCCAGGTTCTGGTCCATGCCATAACAGAGCATGTGGAGGATGCGGGGGTGCACTCAGGAGATGCTACTCTGATGCTACCAACTCAGACCATTAGCCAGGGGGCGCTAGAAAAGGTAAAGTCCCTCTTAGTATCCACATTCAAACTGTATAAATCATACCATTATTTTTCAATGACCATATTGATATTTGTTTGGAAACCAGCAGTTTCACTCATATGCTGTGTGCATTTAAAAGACTATCTACATGATTGTAGGTATTAATGGAAGAAAAAGCTCAATTCAGCGTCATTAATATTGTGTTTGTGTGTTATTTCTTCATTGCTCTCAGGTTAAGTTTGCTACCCAGAAAATTGCGAAAGCATTTGAAATTTCGGGCCCCTTCAACACTCAGTTTCTGGTGAAAGGCAATGATGTCATGGTAGGTTATATTTCTCGGATGTATGACTGAATGATAGATCGACATTTTCACACTTGGTTGCAGCAAATGCAATTTACTCACTTACTCAAATCACCTTGTGCTTCAAATTATTTGCAAAGTTGGATGGATTTAATGATTAATGGCGTTGCATTCAGTTTTGATGCTCTAGCTACAGCACACACACACAGGAAATGTGCAAGTATATAAGCTGGCTCTTTTTCCAGTATGTTTGTGCGTTGGTATTTGACATATCTGCCTTGAGTGTTTTTTTTTTAAAAGCCCTAGCCAATGTGTTTCTTTGCATGGGTGTCTTTTTGAATTGACAGTGTTTGTTTTGTACCTTTTTTAGGTGATAGAGTGTAATCTGCGGGCGTCGCGCTCTTTCCCTTTTGTATCAAAAACAATCGGCGTGGACTTTATCAATGTGGCAACCAAAGTGATGGTGGGAGAGCCTTTAGATGAGGCCAGCTTGCCCTCGCTGGAGAGACCCATCATCCCCCTAGACTATGTTGGCATCAAGGTGAGTAGGGAAACTGAAATAGCTGTTGCAATCTGGGAACTATGTGGCTGTTTTTTCTCTTGTCAAACTACTCTCTCTGCTACATTTATCACCCAGAAGTAAGAGGGAATCAACACTATTTGAAAGAGGGCAGAACAGTTACTATCAGGATAAGCTTATGTGTCTGTCTTAAGGTAAAAACAATTGCTTCAGGCTGCAAGAATGGACATGGAGCATTAAGGTAACCGCCATTTTTAGGTGGTTTTGTACTTGCTTTTTGATACATTACCTTTTGCACCTCACCAAACAAAAGGATTCTGAACTCTGGGAAAACAGCCTCATGTCCAAAAAGAACAGGCCAAAGTGTAACTCTAAAATATATGTAGAATATAAGATTCAAAATAAACCACTGTGCATTTAGACACAAGCATAAGCCTAACAGTATACTGTTCTTGAACATTATTACATGGCTTAGTTGAATACTCGATTCTGATTGGTCAATTCAGAACACGTGACACGTTGTTAATACCGAACAGACAGACCGCTGTCAAGCACTCATTGACCGTTGTTAAGGACGCTCACATCTGCACAAACAAGTCTGTTCGATTTAACTGTATACAGTTTGGCTGAAAAGCAAACTGCATGCAGTTTGCTTTTCAAACTGACAAGACAAGAGCGACAAGAAAACAGCGGAGAAGTAACGGGCAGAAATCCTCCTTTTTACGCAACGGTCCAGACATAGACATCAGACGGCGACACATATTCAGTTGCCAGTTACTTTGGCATTAGGGCAGGGATATCTAGATACTCTCCAAGGTTTGACATAATGAATTGTGCTACTTTTAAAGCAAGCAGCGATGTTTTCAAATCTGTAATCAAAAAGCTCCTCAAAGCAACCTATCGAAGCAGTTCCTGCCGTTGCTACGTTAGTTCAAACAGTAACAACGGACTATTTTTCTTAGCGGATGCATGTCAATTTAAATCAATACAACTATTTTTTAAATCAATAAAATCATTTTCTAAATCCATAAAAGCATTTCGATTAATATTGGGAGTCATAACGTTACTTTGTTGAGAATGTGACCATGTAATAAGCGGGATAATGTGCTGCGACGTGGTCATTATGGGGAAAAGAACACCGACAGGCTGATCAGGAGCCCGACGCAAAGCGGAGGGATCTAGATCGGCCTTCCTCCTCTCCACATTATCCCTTACTTAACATACTTTCAGATCAAAGGTCAAAAGTAGATGCAAGATACATTGCAAACATTTCCCATTGCTGCCTAGCCTTGTCTTAAACAAGTCTTGAATGAAGAAAGTAACACTTTATCGCTCCAGGGAATGGTTCATAGTTTGGATAATGGTCCAACAGGGTTTACAGAAAAAAACCTCCTTTAACGATTATATTCAAAGGTAATGACTACCTGTTGCATAAAAGCAACTTTTAAATGTTTCTCTTCAAGTCTTGAGAACCATGTCTGTGAAGTTCATAGAGCCTGTTCCTATGTAAAGATCCCCCTACATGTATGATGTCACAATAGATACTTCAGGTTGTGCTAGTACAGCTTCAACTGGATCGCATAACAAAGACGGCAATTACTGCTCCATCTCCTTGCCTGGCATGATGGCGGGGGGGTAGTAGGTGCTTTCTCATAGCGGCTGGGAGGCTTACTTTTTAGATTGGGTACGAGAGAGTTAACGTGTCGCCAGCTGTTCCAAAGTAATTTCTCCCTCTAATTACAACAGAGCTGCTCTAACAATGGCTGTAGTTTGGAGCTATTCAAGCAGGTATAATCCCCCACTCTTCCCCACCACCTAAAGTTTTCAATTTCTAGTCTGCACAGTGGTGAGGAATGTTAATCGGAGCTCTGAATACTCCTGGTGACAGGCTTAAAAGACTTCCAGAGTTAACTTAGAGTCTATGATACAGAGTCCATACTCCCTGACTGATACGGGCCTTCCTGGAAACCCCACCAAAAAACACGAAAATTGTTTAACCAAGAAGTGATAGTTTATTTCTTCCCGTTAACACCTTACTACTGCCTCAACATCAAGCCCCCCCGTAAACACACAGGGACCTCGGAAACCATTATCTAGCCTTTGTAGCCTGAAGTGAGCGCCATCAAGACATACTCGTTCAGCCTTCATCCACAATCCTCACTATATCAGAACAAGTCTTTGCCATCCAGAGAGACTGTCTTCATTTATCTGTCTCATCCTTAATCTGTAGCTCTTGCTGTCTCTCTTCTCTCTCTGACAGTTCCCCATTTGAGGCCATGTTGTTTTCTGTTCACTAACAAGTCCCCATTGTGTGATTTCTGTCTATGTACAAACTCACTGGAACAATAACATATCTGTATTTATGATACTGAGAGAGGGAGAGGACCATTAAAACAGCTTTGGTGAAGGAGGAAGCGTCAGTTCCCAGTGTATATTTATTCAGCGATAAAAAAAAAACTTCCAATTGTTGCTTGTTTGTCCCCTTGACCATGGCATGTTGGCCATTATAGGGACTTCTGAGACACATTCTCGTGAGCCCAATTACCTGAGAAGAAGATCCATCTTTTGCCATCAAGTCTTTTCCTGAACAAAATCCTGTTGGGAGAGAAATGTTTGCTAGTTAATGTGTTGATTCAATTATTGTAATGGTTAATGCATATCTCCTCGTCAACAAGTTAAGTTTACTTGCTGATCAGTATCAATATTACCATATCTCACAAAGCATTCCCAGCACAATTTCTCCCAAAACGTTCTGCCACATAGGTGTGTGAAATATTGATAAATATTGCTCACTGAGATGTGTGCTTTGACTTTTAGTTGCAATCTATCATACAGTTCTACAAAACGTGCTATAATGCCCCTCTTCTCCATAGAAAATACATGCCAACATTTGACAGAATAACTTTATTCCACTTTTAAATTGATTTTCTTTATTATTCTTAATCCATTTTGACATTTTAAACTTTTTGAGGTATTGGTTAAAGGTTTATTTTTTTGTCTGAGACAATTCGATTTTAAATGCCATTTTCTTAATGTCTTTCATTTTTTGTAAAGCACTTTGAATTGCCTTGTGCTGAAAGGTGCTATCTAAATAAACTTGCCTTGCCTTGCATTGACACATTCTTTTCATTTTTTTTACAAAATGGAAACATTAAAACACTACAGTTACAACTACTACGAATTCTAACGCTATAATCATTACTACTTCTTTGAAACACCATAGCAACCAATTATAAACATCATAGCAACAACACTCAACATTAGCACAACTTATGCTAATTCTACCACCCTAAGTAACCTAGTACCCACTTTCGACATCCCGACAATGCCAAAAGATCTGATCTTAAGCCCCCTAGCCCTTATGTATCAGAATCCGAATAAGAAGCAGTAACCAAGCCTAATAGAGATTTGTATTGTTGCTGAACAAATTGATTCACACATACAATTCACAAGGCTACGAATAGGTTCAACCGATTAGATTGGGAGCAATACAGTTACCGTAGGCTACCAGTACTGCTTGGATATAAAATAGATTCTTAGTGAGCAAATGTTGTTTGGAACTGTCAAACCTGGTGCATCATTAGAGAATTGAACCCTCAAAAGTTACATTAATGTATTGTGTATATAGATTAAGGGCACATACTACTTGGACCCCATTCTATACTCCCTAGTCTAGCAATGTACACAAGAGTTATTATAGTAATTGTGAAGTAGGTATGGTAGTAACCTATGCCCTTAAATGAAGTCCAGGAAAACTATAGCAACCACCTTTCAATATCATTTATCTCGTAATTTGACTGTAACCACCCAACTATGTCTTAGTGAGGAACAACGAAAGCCCTACCAAACATATGTAAAAAGTATCTGTATCAGTACTAGATCCGGAAAAAAAGATGTGGAAATCGTCATTGAAAACAAGTTTTAAACTAGCTGTTCATTTTGATTCAGCTGCGGAGATAAAGACATTTACACATGAGTCACCTCGCCTCTAACAAGGCCCATAGCCAGCGACAATGTTATGTGGAAATGTCTTACTTCATTCACTCCCTTCTGTGTAGCTCAGCTGGTACCCCAAGATAATATTGTTCATGTTGTGGAGCCTCTCAGGAGTGGGCGGTTGGGGTGGGATAGCGAGATGGGGAAATGGTGTGTGTGTGTGTTGGGATGTTGTGGTTACATAGCCTTGGTTATTGTGTGAAAGCCGCACACACTCATTCTGTCCCAGAGACACACCATTGCAATTGAACAACAAACCATTATAACGGAGACTCCCGAGGTTTACATAATTATATTTATGGAGGCTTGTGTAAAGTTTCTCATTTTCAGACCATTTATATCTCCATGGTGTTAGTGATGCCATTTTTCTAACAGCTCTTGTTTATATTTCCATATCTTGCTTCATAGTTTTAAGTGTTTGCTGCAATTTTGGTTTTAAAGTGGGGATAGTGGATAAAATAGGGATCCACTTTTTATTTGAATTATGCACAATACAACTATTCTGGATTTACAGATACCCACCAGCAGAGTCTTTGTGGTACTTATGTTCTGCTTTTCACAAAATCCACTATTTATTTTAGTTTTTTCTTTCATAGCACTATTAGAAGTTGCCCCTCTCTGTATGTGTTCCCCTTTCGCCGTTTCATTTTCTTTCTTGATCACATTCTGCCATATTATCTATGCATACTTCTCCGTCTTTCTCTGACTCTTTGAACAAAGCCACGATAAGCGATGCAGGTTCCCCGTCTGCATTCTCTTCTCTTGGTCCCTTCTTACATTAGTATGCTAACATTACGTTCAGCTGATTAGATAGCCTGCTTCAAGGATGAATCCCCCCCTAGTGGCCCTGCCCCTACGTGTGTGTCTGCGCTTCTCCACGAACCACACAACGCCGCACCACCTCTCTGTCTTTTCAAGGTAACGGGGGTTGTCTGCTTTAAAATATATGAATGGCTTCTCACAACACTTAATTTGTATTTAATAAAATGAGGACAAAGCTTCAGTCTTCTGCCCTTGTTCCTACCATTCCTTTCAATCTTTCTCTCCTCTCTTTAAAATAAACAAAACGATATTTTATCTTTTCTTCTCACCCATTTAATTTGATTGTATATCCGACATTCCATTATTTTAATCTCCATTAAATGGTCACGTTTATTTCTCCTGTCTTAATTGAAAGAAAATGTTGTTCCTTCCTTATAAAGTATGTCATCCCTTCTTCTCTCAAGTTCTCTCCATTACTATCTCCTCTAACGTCATTTAATTGTTCTGGCCTTACTGCTATCTACTTCTCCACACCTCTCCCTCTTTTCTATTATCTGCCCCTTATATATCAGTGTTTAAGTGAGAAATAGTGGATTGCATTAGCAAAATGAAATAACACGTAGTATTGTGGGAAAGCACCCTTTTTCTTAGTTTGTATAAATAGTTTGTATTGATCATTAAACAGTAATTGCCACTTGACCTGCTCCTCTTTAAGGGAAGCTGGAAGCTTTGTCTGTCCTCTAGGTGGCAGCAGTGTCATGAAGTCCCTGAAACCTTTCCAATGGACTGGAACCATTTAAGTGTGAAATTATTCTCCATTGATTGCCACTTTTTTTTGCAGTAGTTTATAATGGCTCCACTGTTGTTGGTACACAGACGTTTTTCATGGTTAATCAACAGGATTTCTTGTAAAAACAAAAATGATGGCCAATTGTTAACGGTCATGAGAACTGACTCAAATGGCATTGTGCCTTGTAGCAACTACTACAGCTGAACAAGGATTTTCAAAAGTAATGATGTAGTTGGCTCATTACCATCTCAAGTGGTAATGTTATTTTATTCAAGCATGTTGAAATAAATCCACTCTTCCCTTTTCTCACCAGGCACCCATGTTCTCCTGGCCGCGGCTGAGGGAGGCAGACCCAGTGCTTCGCTGTGAGATGGCCTCCACTGGAGAAGTAAGACCCTCAGTCACACAACAACATATTTTGGTTCATTAATGTGAAGTGTACTTTTCTTTATCGGAAATGGGTGATTCAGTGTTAGCAGTTACTCATGTGTGATTTGTTGCAGGTTGCTTGTTTTGGATCAAACATTTATTCAGCCTTCCTGAAGGCTATGCTCTCAACAGGATTCAAGCTTCCGCAGAAGGGCATCCTGCTTGGGATTCAGGTAAGACTACAGCCATCTGGAGGTCCACTTGCCTCCTGTTGGTGTTTCCTTTTGGTGCCTCCTGCCCAGAAGACAGCAAATACACAGGGCCATCAGAACAGGTGGTATAAATCTTTCAGGCTATCAGCCTCTTAGTGTGCCAGCCCGACACTCCTCAGTTTGTTTGACGCAAATCATAACTTGATTCTTGTAACGCTAGCAACCCTCATGATGTGAGAGACATTGAGTAAATGACTCAGAGAGGTTACCTATAAGTAAGACTTGATCAAAACTTCCCAAAACAACCCTAATACCCTAAAACAAAAACATGTTTTGGAGGAACATTGTCTAAAACCAACGGATAGTCAGCCATTTTGAATTCAGTGGGATTTTTGGCCGTATTGTGCTCATTTTCAGGCTCAGTACCAACTATTTGGTCTTCGTAAGACCTTGAGGATTAGTAAGTAGAACAGGGAAGACGAAGGATACGAAAATTAATCCTGATGCTTTTATACCCAAAAGATTAAGAGGAACTACAAAAACGTAAAAGTCAAAGTATTTAAACTATAATCTTTCTTAAACAATATCCCAAGTTGGAGAATAACTGCTCAGAAAAAAGGACAGGTTAAGTTCTGCACAAAAACTATTTTCTCATCAACCAAGCGCTCTGTCCAAAATCTTTAATGGACATTGCTCGATAAAGTTGCTGTAAAAACATCTCTCAATCCTTTACAAATCCTTAGCTGTAGAACACAAACTGTGAGCCTGAGCTCTGTACTTTTTTTAATGACACTATCTTACATGAGTTTTGGTAATTACGTTTTGCTTCCACCCTTGGTTGCCAAACTGGAAGTTTGAGTAATGCAGCGTCAACAAAGCACTCACAACACTCGCTGTATAATTGGTGCTCTTGGGGAACAGGTCCACTTCAAGGCAAGTACCTGGGGTTAGATATGCACCGTAACGAGGCTGACAAGCAGCAACACTTCCAGCAGACGGATCGAGAACAAACAGCAACATAGATGTGATTTACCAGTGGTTTTGAGAAAGTTTGTGGTAGGAGGGTTAAAACGTTTTTTGGCGGTCTATTGAAAAAGACTGTGGCCTTCAGATTAAGGGCGGTTCATTTTACCGTTCGAAAAAGTGATGATCAAATGTTGTATTTGGATGGGGCTAGTGGCTGTTATATTACCAATAAATTAGATGCCAACGTGAAATAGTTCCCACATAGTTAGGAACCCTCAGAGAAATATTATCCGACTAGCCCTCACATCAACAGGCTTTTTTGTTGTTGTCTTCCAGCCCATTGTTTTGGTTCAGTCTCACTACTCTCAACAACCTCAATTCCACCAGCAGAAAGCTGTTTTAAAAAAAACAACCTCAAAACCAACTGAACGATACCTGCGCTGGGACAAAGTGCAGAGTTTAGTTAGCAACTTGCCAGGGAACATGGTGGAGCATTTAGCAGCGGAAGAGCCGGATATCTATCCAGGAGATTGTGTAAAGCTTATATTGGATTTCAACCTGTAGGTAGCCTGACTCAAAATGAATGCTATTGTTGAAAATAAACAAATTTTGCTGACAACGTTACCATATGAACTAGTTATAACAAGTCAGCTTTGTTTTTTGCTGGCTTTTTTCTGCGGTGTTAGCTCAGGTTACCAGTTAGCACAACATATCTGTTCATGCAGGCTTTTTCATATTGATGGCTCGTAGCACACACTTCATACAGACATCATTCACATGGATAGTAGTAAAAGAAAGTAGTCGCAAAGTGCTACTGCAGGAAGTGAAAGTGACACCATTTTAAGTTAAAGTTATTACACATCAACCTTAGAAAATAGTCATGGGGAATGAAACTACATTGTCTTTGTCTTTCATACTCTCAGTTTGTCAAAATTGCAAGCTAAATTAGAAACTGGTATATCATGGAAACTTGGTAATGTAGGCCGCAGAATCTTCAAAGAATATCAAACCATATTACAATGCTTTTGTGAGACGGCTGTAATTGTAGCAAGCTTATGGTTTATTAAACTGAAGGGCATCGAGCGTAAACACTTGCAAATAAACAGCAACAACTCACACAAGAGTTCTCAGCACTTTGAAATGTTCTTGATGGAATACATTAGGTGGGTACTTAGAAGCTGATGTCCAACATAAATACATTTCTACATGATTTGTTTATTTTTCTTTTACATCCTGTGATAACGGTAATGTATCAAACTGGAAATATGGTTATAATGATTTTATTTGTAAAACTGCGGTCTTTGTTTGTGAAAGCTGCAACTATAAATATCTAGGTCCAAGTTGTTATCACCACAGCAAAAAAAGAAATAATGCTTCCATAACATTGCCATCTTTAAGATTAAAAGAACATAAACAAACTTGATTGTCCTAACAAACTCTATAAACTATAGCTAGCACGTAATACTGGTTTTTGAAGGAAATGCTAAAACTCTATTTTGTATTGTATTATACAGTACATAAAACAGTAACACTTGGAGGCATTATGAAGAAATGTGCAATAGGTGTTCCAATCATTTAGGAAACAGTCTATGTTTGTTGTCAGGGTGAACACATCTGAGGCCTGTACGACGAAGCCGGTTCAACCTAACCTGGATATGTTTGAGTTAGCCGGTTGGCCTAATCCAAAACATACGCGCTCTCGCTAAGCGGTCCTAAGACGCGGGTTATCAAGTGGATCGCTCAAGCCAGCCGTGTCCTATCTAGTTAGGTGCGCGTTCAGATGAAAGGGGTGGTATTTGGAGCATTCGACCAATCACAAACATGGACAAGCGTAACTGACTATAATATTAGACAAAATATGAAGAAGTTCAACTTTAAACATCCATGACTTAAACACTGTATCCAGGATAAAAGCCACATAGTTGCACCTGCAAGGTGAATACAGCTGGTAAAAGAAAAAGTGTTTGAATGCGTACATTAACAGGTTTATGATATCACTGCCCCGTCTAAGACACGAGTGGATCTGACTTTAATTACATTTGACTCAAGTGTTTCGTCAACTTAATGTGTTGCTTAAAATAATACTTCTGCATACAGTATGTGACACTGTGAGTGTTGCACGGCCAGATACGGCTCAAGAAGCTGACTCAGATAAGGAAATATATGATACATTATGATGTGATATGATATGAATGATAATGGGACACATCGACGTCTGCACTCAGTGTCGCAGACTGTACGTAATGTTACTTTGATCCGGTTACTTATGTTGTGGCAGATATTTAATTAAGCTTTCTTAACGCTAATGTTATAATAGTCAGATTGCTCTGAAGATGGGAGGTGATATTCTATTAATGTTCACGTTCACACAGTCGGTGATTTTTGCCGGCCATCTTTTCTGCAACGGCAGCTTTTCTGTATTTCCTTTATCCTGTAATATGACTTGATCGCTTTAAACTCCGCACACTGAGCTCTGATTGGTCAGCAGGCAGTGCTTTCACTGAGTTGAGCTCTTAGCCTGCAACCTAACCTGCTCCGGGGCAGGTTAGCCGCACAGCATAAGTTACCATGGAGATCTAGCCTGCAAACTCAAAAGAGAACCAGCTTCATAGGACCGGAAACCCCGAGTTTTCCCTGAAGTTAGTCAGCAAAAATCCTGCTTCGTAGTT